ATCTCCTCCGACACCGCCAACGTCTTGATGTCCAGCGTCTTGCCGCGCTCGATCTTCACCTCGATTGTATCACCCACCTATATATTTGGGGTAGACAGAAATAAACATTACTCTCGTTTGAATATTGAAACGTATAATATGTAACAATTTCTTTAATAAAGCGATGCAAATTCCTTACAAAGATTGACCGACCGAGAGTTTAAACGACCCTTTCGTTTCAGTATTTTGCTATAAGGATATAAAAAAATTATTAGTCTTTCTAATAAAAGTTTTTTTTGCACAGTTTTGACCTTAGATTGACCTTGACCTTTTGACCTTGGTATAACAACACCTGTTAGAGTTTAGCTATTTATTACTTAACTAGCTGTTCGCAACTTCATCCGCGTGGAATTAAAAAAAAATTTAAAAAGTATAGCCTATGTTATTTAGAGATAATCTAGGTTTTTATTAGTGAAAGAATTTTTGAATTCTGTCCAGTAGATCTTGAGTTACAATATACAAAAAAACAAATCTGTCCTCTTTATAATATAGATATTTTCTTACAGTAGGTCCAACAAGGAACGTCTTGGTGTCCAGATGCTTCACTGGTCCATATTTATCTCTGATGCGGAAGAAATCGTTCGCGACTTGCGGGTACATCGCCGCTGACATCACATCCTTGTCTGTTACCTGGAATTATTTAAAACTACTTGTTATTGTGAATTTTCACTATCAAAATAACTATATAATGTTAACTACAAGAAGAAACAGGTAACGGAAGATATCAATAATTATTTTTTTGAAGGATAATATTCTGATATTGATTTGCATATTTTTTAACATTAGGTTTATTTCGAGTTAAGTAAGAATGTGGTTTAATAGATTCCAATTGTAATCCAGTGCTGGTTTGGAATAATGTATACTGAACATTATCTTATCTATGCATTATTAAAAATAGTAACAAGTATGGCGATTAATTGCAAACAAGCCACATTCTAGTATGGTTGTCCATTTTTATCCAGAGCAGGATTAGATGTCTGGATTGTGAACTGATAACTATAATTGACTCACGTCAGGGAATGATTCCAGTAATTCAGCCTTTAGTTTGTCGAAGTCCAGTGGGGGCAGTTCCTGTCCTGGTCGGCCCTCTATCCGCGGCATGTCCTTTAGTACTTTAGACCTAGTAGATTTATTTAAATTATTATATCTTTAAAACGTAATTTAAACAAAATCATTGTTTTTTATTACTTTCAAAACCATTTTTTTATTACTTTCATATGAGAATCTGTGCATGAATAAATCAGAAATAACTAGAAAAGTGTGATTTTAAAACATAAATGATTTGGGTAATTATTCATGCATTTATTTATATATTCAAGAATGTGTGAATTCAGGATTTTACAGTCAATATACTGCCTTTAATGCAGTTTACCCTTGACCAGTACAGTTGGTCAGTAGCAATAAAAGGACTGTCAATTTGGCACAGTGTGGTCCATACAATGTATACCGTTACACTGTCTTACTGTACAGGCCAAGTGTGAACCCGGCATTATTGGAGTATTACCTCAATGGTTCAGGGAATCCTCCATAAGGTATACCGATGGCTCCCTGCAGGTATTCCACCACAGATTTAGGGAAGGAGAGTTCCTCCGCCCGCTCCTGTATGTCCTGAGCTGACAGTTTGTTCTGCACCATGAACTGAGCCAAGTCACCCACCACCTTCGATGATGGAGTCACCTTGATTATATCGCCTAGTAACAGATTCGCTTCCCTGAAAATTTACACTTTGATAAGAGAAAAATGATGATAATACTTTTTTTTAATTCTTAGAAGTAAAGGATCAATCTTTACTAATATTATAAAGAGGACAGATTAGTATTTTTGGATTTTTATATGTAATTGAGTCACGCAAAAACTACAGGACCAATTTTAAAAATTCTTTCACCATTAGAAAGGTAATTTATCTGCGAGTAATATATGCCGTTTTTTATTATTTTTAAATTTCACGCGGGCGAAGTCGAGAGCAACAGATAATCTATTATATGTAGTCGACCGTTTTTTTTTTGGTTTTAAAATTAAGGTCAGGTTTTACTAGTGGTAGAGTTAATGATTTTTTTAAATCAGTCAAGTGATTTTTGTGTCTAATAATACAAAAATACAAATCTTTACTCTTTACAATGTAGTATAGAGTATAGATGAAAAGAATTTAGAAAAGGAAAGAGTAAACAGCAGTTATTGAGATTCGGATCCAGTTTTTAATATGTTTTCTTAAAATTTTAACTCTCACGTCCAATGTATGAGTTTTTAACCAATGTAATACCTCAAAACACTCTAGAGAAGGTGACCAATCGTTTAACACCTAACTTGTCAAAATCGGTTCAGTTATATAACCTCTAGGTGGTTACAATGAAATTGAAACTTATGTACAAGGGGAATTATTACTAAAATATTACCTGTATGCCTTTTTAACTTGTTCAAACTGACTGCCTAGTCCTAGTGAGAATGCCTGGAACTGCAAATTAGTGTATTGTCCGCCAGGTATCTCGTTAATATAGACATCCGCGTTACCAGACTTCATAGTCGCCGTGCACTCGAATGGCCCGTACAAAGTGCGTGCTTGTTCCCAGTATGCGGAATACTCGGATACCTTTTGGAGACCAATACCTGGAAATTTATATATAAATAGATTATTAGATTTGCCGCGATTTCGTCCGTGAAGAATTAAAAAAAGAAGGAGCATGAGTTCGTCCATACTATGCTCTAAATTGTTTAGACTACAAATCTAACAAACATTCTTTATTATTTAATTGGAATGTTTGTAATATTAAAAGAAAAGTCCAGATTTCTGGAAGATGATTGTATTTGTGTTGCTGATAAGGAAATCACATTTAAAAAAATGTCTGTCTGTCCGCAAGCCGTGTTTGTTCCGAGCAATCTCCGAAACGGTTGGGCCGATTTCGACGATACTTTCACTGGAGCGTAGCTGGTATGGACGGGCACATTGTAGGGTTCTTTTAATTCCGCGCTGACAAAATTACGACTAGACCACTAACTCCATAACGGGTGGTCCGATTTTGATGAAACTTTGACTTAAAGGTAGCTTGTAGTTAGTTAGAATTCCGCGGTAACAAAGTTTGCAAGCAACAGCTAGTAAAAAGATAAAAAAGTAGCCTAAATTTACCCGTCTATGTCAGCTTACCCTTCTGTGAAAGTCCGGTTGACATGAACCTAGCCGTTTCGGAGATTACCCGAAATAAACGCGGCTTGCGAATAGACAGACAATTTTTTTTAAATGCGATTTTCGTTATCAGCAACGCAGATAGATCATCTTCCCGAAATCTGGATTTTTTCTTATAATATTACAAACAGACACTCCAATTTTATTACATGTTTAGATAAGTATAATGACCAGTGTCGAGTGCGTCTCCCTGCAGCGAGGCGACGAGCGCGCCCATGCTGGGCTGGCTGGTGAGGCCGGACATGGCGTCCACCGCCACGTCCACCGCGTCGGCGCCGGCGCGCGCGCACGCCAGCATGGCCGCCACGCCCGCGCCCGACGTGTCGTGTGTGTGCACGTGGATCGGCACCGACGGGTGCTTGTCGCGGATGGCTTTTATTAGTAACCTGGAATACAGGATTTTTTAAACTCTAGGTTAAATTATCTTTACCAGATCACTATACGTCCCCATTGAGGGGCTCGGAGCCTACTCTAAGTTAGGGTGGCTAGGCCATAGTCAACACTGGCCAAGTGCGATATCTTTGAATTTCTTCGCATATATATGCAGTACCACAATGTTTTCCTTCTCCAACTACGGGTAAATTATGTACATACGAAATTCGAAAATCATATTACATGGCGGGATTCGAACTCAAGACTTGTAGAAATTTTAAATATTGGGTACATTAGTTTCATGCAATAACCACACTTTTGTAAATGCGAAAGTTTGTTAGTATACAAGAATGTTTGAAACTGAACATTGTCTGGAAGAACACGAGCTACTTAATTGTTTTTTAATTCCATATGGTTGAAATTTTAGGCAAAAGTCATGTGTTAAAATAATAAAAAAGTATAATAATAGTTACAGATTATTTCCACGTTTTTTGGCGTCAAAAGAACTAGAAAACCTTGATCATTCAATTATAATAGAATAAAAAACAAGGTTTTGTCACAATCGTTCGCTCGGAATTAGAAAAATATCACTTAGTAGCTTTCCAATAGTGATAGAATATTTGAAAATGATCCAGTTGTTTTGGACTCCCGTTACATAAAGTCTCATTATAATATTAGTATAGATTGAAATATACTCACTCAGCAGCACGTGGTTTCAACAGACCAGCCATATCTTTGATCGCCAACACATGTGTTCCCGCTTTTACTAACTCGTCAGCTAAATTCAAATAATATTTCAGGTCGTATTTTTTCTTAGTAGGGTCTGATACATCTCCAGTATACGATATCGCAGCTTCGACCACGCCCCCGGCTTTGCCCGCAGCGTCCATACCGAGGATCAAATTAGGCAAATAGTTGAGGGAATCAAACACTCGGAAGATATCCATACCGGATTTCACCTGAAAATAATTGAAAACCGTAGAATCAACAATCACATGATAATAAAAATTTTAATGTTTTCATTATAATGTAGTTTTCTTTAATGTAAATAAGATAAAAAATTTGTTTCCTTAAGTAAAATAGAGAGGGGGGGGATGATTTAATGTTATTATAAAACGTTGTTTTTATCGCATACAATGTAGACATTATGTCATTAAAATGAAAACCTTTTTTCATGAAAATGTTATCGTATCCATTAAAAATGTAAACTTATCCATTAAAAAGAAAGACTTTTTCATTAAAATTAAAAACATTGTTTAACGTTATAATTAAATACTAACAGCCATATCGCAGAATTTGTAGACAGCATTATCTGGATAGTTGGTATATCCGACTGCGTTAGCTCCTCGTAGAAGCATCTGGAAGGGAACGTTGGGGATCAACCGCCGCATATCCTCTAACCGCTCCCATGGACACTCGTGCAGGAACCTGAAAACAAACAATTTATATAGAAATATTAATATTTATAGACATTATTAACATATTATTTAATAATAATAATTGATTTATTTCATGTTACAATTATTACACATATAAGGAGTTTAACAATTGACAGAATTACTGTTAGATAAGAAAAGAAGAAACTAAAAAACTAAAAAACTAAAACTAAAACTAGTAAAACCTTTAAATCTTCATTAATTGTGATTTTTTTTACACCTGATATAACTCTTGCTGTTTTGGTAACTGTTTTATATTTCCATGTAAATAATGGGAACTCACCGTTCTAAAAGTTGTTTTTGTCATTAAAATCTGATTATTTTACTCGTTAACGTTTCAATTTATGATTAAATTAATCATAGTGTAGTTATATGAGAAAATGTACCTTAAGGCGACATCAAAGGTAGCTCCTCCCCAGTTCTCGAGAGCATATAGATTACTGAAGTTGTGTGCGACGTATGGCGATACAGCGAGCAGATCGTGTGTTCTAACTCGTGTGGCTAGCAGAGACTGGTGAGCGTCCCTGAAGGTGGTATCCATGAGGAGCAGACCCTTATGTTCTCTGACTGCACGAGCGAAGGCCTCAGGACCACCTTCGTTCAGTATCTGCTTGAAGCCTTTTGGAGGTTCAACAGCTGGGGATTGAGACAAATTGTCCATGTTACGTGGGAATTAAAGTGGAAATACAAATTTTGTTCACAAATACATGTACTATAAATATACTAATCATCACTAGCTCAATGTACGTCCCCACTCTGTCTCGGAGCCTCTAAGGGGAGGGTGACTAGGCCTTAGTCAACTAATACATATTGTTGTTTTTTAAAGATTGATAGGGAAATATTGAAATTTTATAAAAGAAACGCGAAAGAAACCTACTTTTTATTTAGATGTTTGTTTTATGTAAACCATTATTTTTTTCTCACAACCTAAATTTATATTTTATTTCTAGAAACATAATTTAAATTGTTTTTCTTGATTTAAAAGCCATAAAAATAAATTATGTTAATCGTTAGAGTTCCCTTCAACATTATATTAGTAAAGATTAAAAAGTAAAATAAGAAATGACAATGATATGTAATAAATGATTTTTAATAATGATATTATTGTTACTGTCTTTCCTCACCTGTGTTCTCCCCAGTCAATTCCTGTCTTTTTATGGCCTCAGGGGAAAGGTCTGAAAAACATTATTAGTAAAATAAAAAATGAAAATGTGCCGTAATGTCTATGGCGTGCACAGATTAAAAACCAATTGCAAAACATAAATAATCCGAAATAAAAGGAGTTTTAAATTAATAAGTTAAAGAAGCAGTAAATCACATTTTACGAAAATTTACATAACAAAGCTTTTGTCTAAACAGTCTTGTTTGAAATTGATACTAGATAAGGTTAATTTTGGTATATCGTTTTGGCTTACTATATTAAGACTTTCGAGAAGGAAACAAAAAAAGAAGGTAATGTTGGAACTTTTAAATAATGTTCTATGTAATTTTACTTGAATTTTAGATTGTGACAATAGATATTAGATTTTAAAAATGAAATAATTGAGTCTTGTTTTAAGAATTACATGATAATTTCTAGCAGAATATTATTTTCGTTACTGCTTTAATGAAACATGACGTTTTAAAGTATTACTGAAACAAAACCATAACCGCTAAGAACAAAAACCTTATGTTAATACCAGCATATTAAAAAGAAAATACCCAAATTAACATAGAAGTATTTGTTAAGGTAAACAACAAACATATTTTGGAACATACCATAACCAGAGCGGACTGAAAGAAATATATCTTTTGATGAAATGTATGTGATCTTTAGTTTTTTTAGTCACGATAAAATAAACAAGATTTTCATTCCAATTACTACATTTTACAATCATTATCTTTTCGATTTTTCGAACCCAAAACATGACCACAAGTACATCATGTTTGTGATTTAATGAATTTAGAACTAATTCTAATTTAATGTTTAGATGACAAAATACTCAACTAATTTATAATCATTAAATTTTATCATCATTAAAATGGTACCTTCATTAAAATAGTATCCATTAAAAGAGTTACCTTCATTAAAATAGTGCCATTCATTAAAATAGTTACCATTGTTACCCTAGTGTACTTACCGAGTGGTATAGGAGGTATATACGGCTTGACGTCAGAAGGAGGGATATTAGTAGCGAGAGGGGTAGCGGGCCCGTTGACCAGCACGTAGCCAAGGTAGTTGAGGATCTTCTGCGCTCTGTTCTGCGACACCTTGAACATGAAAAGCTGAGGATGCTCGTCGATAAAGTAAGTGTCCACCGCACCTGAAAAGGTAGATTTTGAATGTATTTAAATCATAAAATTGGAATATTAACTGGTAACTTTGCAATTACTAAATAGTAGATCGTATAAACGGATCTTTAATAAGTTTAATTAATGTTAATCTTTAAAAATAAAGAGCCACACATGCTTAATAAACTTGCAGTACTCTCTATAATAATATAGTAATTAAAAAAATCCCATTGTACGCTTATAGAAACTACTAGTACCAAAGAAAACGAGATTATAAAGTATTTGCTTCGACATAATATTAGTTTAACTGACTGTTTAACTATTAGAATTGATATTAATGTTACCATTTAAGAATTTCTGATTCTCCAACACGTTGAGCAGGAAGGGGATGTTGGTTTTAACACCTCGGATACGGAACTCGCGGAGCGCTCGGTTCATTTTAGCAGCCGATGCTGATAAATCTTGTGCGTGAGAGATTACCTGGGAAATGAAATCAATTTAGATTCTAGATAAAAGCCAAAAGCCTAATGATCAAGTGTACAGATACGATCATGTGCCGTATGAATTGTAGTAAATAGTTTCTAGAACAAATTGAGTTGTATTAGAATGGTATAAAAATTATTAGTAAATCATCAAAAATCTAATAATTTACCTTAACAAGTAACGAATCGTAGTAAGGTGATATAATAGCGCCTGCGTATGTCGAAGCCGAGTCCAGCCGAATACCCATACCTTCTCCGGATCTGTTAAAATATAATATAGAAAGTTTTAATAATTATTAATCTCATTATAGTCAGTAAATCAGTAATTAATGGAAATATAACGTAGCTAAGACATTAGTATGTATGACTAGCTATTCCTGTGCGGTTTCATCCGCATTAAATTATAATTTCTTTTATTTATTGTCTACATTTGTACTAAAATTTGCAAATGCCGATATTCTGATGGACAAAGGACAACAAAGGCGTTTACAATTAGCGTTATCACGGCAATATTGTTTCCATGGTTCTACATTCTAAATAACACAGATATGTTTACAATTTATAAATAAATAAAATGTTGTTAACATAACAGAGTTAAAATACCTGAAAACTTCAATCCTGCCTGTGCTAGGTTGGAAGTTATTAGCGGGGTCCTCAGTGGTGACCCGGCATTGTATCGCGTACCCTTGGGTCTTGATCTTGTCCTGAGTTAGTCCTAGCTCAGGTAACGTCAGACCCTCCGCAACTCGGATCTGAGACTGCACTAAATCTATACCTGTCACCTCTTCTGTAATCGTGTGTTCTACTTGTAACCTGTTTAAGTAATAATTCACAGATGGATTATTTCTGATTTTAATCGATTTTTTTCATATATTGTGCCAACGAGCAACGAGGATTCGCCGAAATAGCGAAGCCACCACTGCTCTTAAAAATACAATTGCAGATGCATTGCCTTTAATACATGGAAGATGAGACGCTCAGAAAGTTATGTCCTCTATCCAATTTACTTACCATACCCATCATTTCTTTGTAAGGTTAGGAATGGAAAGCCGATTAAAATTGGAACTAAAGTGCAAAATATTTCGAGAACAAACATATTGAGAAAAAAAGGTTTGCATTTAAACTTGTCATTAAAATGAAACAGTAAAGGTTTTAACGAGTAAATTTTTTCATGAAATTGAAGAATTTAATCAATTTAATGTTTAATGAAAATTATTTTAATTAATGTTGCACCTGTTATATTGATAAATGTATGACGAAATACACATACCTAGCGTTGACTTCTATAAAGTAGAAATTCCCTTTATCGTCGAGTAAAAATTCGACAGTTCCCGCGTTCTCATAGCCGACATGTCTCGCCAAATGTACCGCACAGTCCACCATTTTCTGACGAACCTGAATAAATATAATCAAATCAAATATTATTATAAGAATGATTTTGAGTCATTTTAAGATAATTCAAACGTATATTTCTAACGATTACTTTAAAATCAAGCACTGGTTATGAATTTTAAATTGTTTCATATTGAAGCTATGTAAATTCTTTAAAAAATATAATATAGAAATATATTTTTTTAACGTACTGTGTTGCTTTTAACGTTATTTTTATCAATTATTCATTTTAATAATTTAGCTTGTAATTTAAAAACTTACCTCAGGGTCGAGTCTAGGTGCGGGTGCAATTTCAACAACTTTCTGATGACGTCTTTGTACTGAGCAGTCTCTTTCATATAGATGGACTACATTACCAGCTTTGTCACCTGTATTTAAAAATTGTATAGAAAGTTATAATAAAAATATATCATACTAATCATACTAATATTATAAATGTGAAAGTTTAGATGGATGGATGGATGTTTGTTAGAGTTTGAAGCCTAAACTGCTGAACAGATTTTGATAAAACTTGCCATAGATGTAGAGGATAGTCTCGAAGAACCCATAGGCTACTTGCATTTGTTTTTTTTTTCGTACCGCGCGGACGGAGTCGCGAGCGAAAGCTAGTTTATACTAAATGAAAATATATCTATCCAGCTAAATTCACACCCTTCTTAATTAAAACAGTATTACATATCTTCTTTGTGATATCATCAACATCACAAGCCTTTATCTGTCAACTGTTGGGCATAGTTTGGATGGATGTTTGTTACAGTTTGTAGCCTAAATTGCTGAACGGATTTTGATAAAATTTGGCGTATTAGAAAGCATTAGGAAGGATACTCTAGAACGCATAGTCATCTTTATTTTGTTTTTTTAGATAGTTTTACATAGAAAATTAATTTAAGTTTTAAATATCTCACCTAGTAATTGTACTTCAATATGTCTAGGCCTTTCGATAAATCTTTCGATGAACATAGATCCGTTTCCGAAGGCGCCCAGCGCCTCAGACGACGCGCGCTCGAATGCGGAGCCGACTTCGCTCATTTCCCGAACTACCCGCATACCGCGCCCCCCGCCGCCATACGCGGCCTGACACGCAAATATATATAGCACCTCGATAACTTAAAAACCTCTATAACTTCAAAAAATAATATGTTCCCTTCCCATCAGAGCTCAAAACCTCCACAACATAGACCCTTGATAACTTAAAACCTCTATAACTTAAATTTTGTGTTTCCCTTGGACTTCAACTTATCGAGGTTCTACTGTACATTATTTCTATTACATAACGATCATTTTTCAGACGTACTTGTCCCACCACTGGCTGATAAGGCTCAGATAGCTTAAAAATGACGTCACTATCAGATGAGGTAACAAAATCCGATATTTCCATCACATTTTACACCTTGGATTGTTATCAGACAATTTACAATTTGGTGGGACAGGCTCTTACATAATCCGAGAAAGTGATTTGTCCTATTTTTAACAGACTTTTGATACTTCTAAAGAAAATTTTAATATAATAGAAAAAAGCGACTAAATGGAGGCTATTACGCAGTTAAAGGTAATAACGTAAATCGATGTAAATAAAAAAAAAATCGAAAAAAACCTCCTACTTTTTGGAGTTGGTTAAAAATAGTCATTTAACTATTCCTATTTTAAAAGTTGTTTATTTGAATGATGTAGTCTAACATTTTACTATAACACTATTCACGTTAACAAATATAAATAAAACAAAAAATATAATAATACTAGACGCAAAAACTAACCTTAAATATAACAGGAAGACCGTGTTGTTTACAAAATTCTACCGCTTCTTCCTTTGTTGTAACAGGACCGTCAGTACCGGGGACGATTGGGACCTCTATAAAAAAATGAAAACTTTGTTACGAATAAACACAAAAATTATTGAACAGATTACAAAAATTCTTTCACCATTAGAAAGGCACATTATCCCTAAGTGATATAGGCTAAATTTAATATTAATTTAAATAACATACTAGCTTCGATCGCAGCTTTTCTTGCGGCGACTTTGTCACCCATTTGCTGTACAACCTTCGGGGAAGGTCCGATGAATCGTAGACCCGCGTCGATGATGGCGTGAGCGAAATCCGACCTGAAATTACAGATACATTTTGTATAGTTATAGTGCTTTTGATTACATTATAATGTTTTTTTTTATATTATAAGGTGGTTATTGCGCAAGCGGCCTCCTAGATCCATTAAAATGGCGAAACGACCGCTGCTTAGACATCCGCGCAATCGCAGATGCGTTGCCTACCCTTAATTGACGGAGGACGCACATAAACAGGATGATTCCCTTCCTACTCGTCTCCAACAACAAATCCACATTCCCTTCCTATCCTATCCTCATAAGAAAATAGTAGAAGGGACTAAAACTAGGCGTTCGGCAACACACTTATCAGACTGTACTCGGAATTTCTCCCACTTCACGCCTGTCTTCTGTGTGGTCGTGGTATTGCACCGGGCGTGTCAGTCCATAGCAAAGATGTTAAAGAGGGCTCCACCACTGTAAGATAAACTTTTTCTTACCTTTCTGAAAGTAAACCATATCCTGGATGTACCGCGTCGACGTCATTTTCCTTTGCCACTCGGATTATCTCCGGAATATTTAAATATGCCTCGACTGGAGGGAGTCCTTTGCCGACTAAGTATGACTCGTCGGCTTTTTGTCTGTAATCGAAAAGATAATTACAATCTCTTTGAGATATGTTTTATTATGTAACTAATGTATAGTATTCGGAAAGTTCGATGCCGAATATTTTACTTTGGGGAGATGAGCGAGGATGTATCCCTTGCTCATTTAGAGCGCGCGCACCTTTGACTAAACTAAACAATCGACAATCGTACAACAGTTGTGCGATTGTCGATTGTTTCGCAATTCAACTGTTTAGTTGCACAACTAAAAATCGAGTAGTGTGCACCTTCATATAAGCTGATAGTAATGAAAGCGAGACTAAACACTTGTGCGATAATTTAGTCTAAGGTGTGTGCGTTCATTAAAATAATAATTGTTACCCTACAAAGTTCGGAAAAAGAAATAAACTCCAATTTACTCATCTATACTAATATAATAAAGCGTTAACACACACTTCTATGTTGCCTAAAATGTCAGCAATTACAGCATATTTTTGAATAATACTTTTTTTTTAATAAAAAGCCCTACACTTACGTCACTCTTTACGCTATATATTTTCATGCCAATAAACTTAGTGGGTAAATATTTTGGATAAAATCTCTAATGTGGGAAAGAGACCATAAGATGCTGCCAACATTAAGGAAACAAGATTGCCAAGGTTTGTCATGTCATGTCATGTCATTTTGACATTTGCTTTTGATAATTTGATAAATGTAAACAATAAAATAAAGTTTTTATAATTCCACGCGGATGAATCCGCACGCGAATAGCTAGTACTTTACTAATGTCACTTCAATACTGCAATAGCGCATTAATGGAAAATATCAGTAAGCCCAGTAATAAATACAATTTATTTATTGAGCATTGAAAATTTATAGCAGCTTAACTTAAACAAATTCTTTATCTAAAAACATACAATGTAATTATATTCAAAACGGCAACAGAATTAACAATTTTAAAGTTGAACATTTCAAGATAAACAAAAAATAAACAAAAACGAGAACAAGATCGTATTACGTCCTCTGAAGGACGTATGTGTCAATTAACCTTACAAATAAAACTTTGTTGTTATAAACCAGTTTACGAATATGATAAACTAGCTTTGTCACGCGACTCTGTCTCCGTGGAATTAAAAATCAACTATGTCTTCTTCCAGACTACAACCACATCAATTCCAAATTTAAACGCGATCGATTTTAACGCGATATTATCTTATTATTCTGTTTAAGTATTTTTTTCAAGAACTTTAATAATCTTTGGATTCTCTGGTCCACATTGGTTTAAAAATCAATCGATCGATAGATTAAAAATTACGTCATTGTCAGATAAGGGGACAAAATCCTATATTTCCATCACATATTTTACACGTTGGATTGTTATCAGACAATTTACAATTTGGTGGGACTGGCCCCTATCTAACTGGGTTACGTTACTCTCACGTCATTGACGTGAAGATTATTATCCCTATGCCTCACCTGTGCATCTGAAGTCGATCCTGCTCGCTGTATATAGCGACAGAACGGATACCCAACTCCGTACATGCTCGGAACACACGGATAGCAATCTCACCACGGTTAGCAACTAGCACACTTCTTATAGGCTTGTATTCTACTGTTTTATCCTGAAACAAAGCATTTTGTTATAAAAGGGGTAAAAGAACAGTGGAAACACCTAGATCAGATCACGTCGATAATCATAAAAACACTACGGAAAAACTAGGAGCACCATAGAATTGACGTAATAATCGCAATCGAAATTATTCAATAGCACGTCTAAGACCGCATCATTCTTTAAGAAATTGACACTTTGATGCATAAATATTCGCCCTTACCTAGATGATAATCGACGCTAAATCCATACCAGAGGAACTGCATATTGCCCGCATTTGAGATATGCTGGCTTCTTGAAGGACCCTATGTTATAACTGTTTGGAAATGCAACGTAATGACAGCGTAATCATAATGTGCGTTATAAGGCTGGTAAAGTATTCTCGAACCGTGCGAAACAAAAAACTCTACGTCACGGGCATGAGTTGTTTTGTAATAAAATATATTAAAACACCAATAATCTGATAGTTTAGATCGCGCATACCATCTTTCGACCACATCTCACTTAACATCAGTTGGGATGTGCTCGAAACCTAGTCTAACCATAAAAAGAAACAAAATCTTCCCGCTGTCTATCTGTCCTTAAGTATACTTAGATCTTTAAAACAACGCAACAGATTTTAAAGCAGTTTATTCTTAATAGATCGACTGTTTCATGACGACGACTGATAATTCTAGTGGCTTCTAAAAGTTTAGAGTTTGGAATAGTCTCGAATTTTGGATTTTTGTTTCTAATCTCGATACCTGATTGTTATCTATACTATTAATATAATAAAGCGTTAACACACACTTCTTTGTTGCCTAAGATGTCAGCAATTACAGTACATTATTGAATAATTCTTTTTTTATTAAAAAGCCCTACACTCACATACGTCACGCTTTAGGCTATATAATTTAACACCATTAAACTTAGGGGGTAAATATTTTGGATAAAAGCCGTGATGTGGGAAAGAGACCATAAGTTGCTACCAACATCAAGGAAGCAAGGTTGTCATCGTGTCATGTCATTTTGACATTTGTAATTGATAATTTGACAAATGTAAACAACAAAATAAAATTTTCATTATTTCATGTAGTCGCACGGGAACAGCTATTGTATTAATAATCTAAAAGCTATATGTCTACTCTGGTTCCATTTAGCGTAAACTTTACTAGATAACCGTACTAATGGGATTTGTGTCTTATCTCAATAATTTAACGTACTCCCGTGTCGAGATAAGTTATCTTTAGTGCATACATGTTGATAGGTTGCCTGATAGTGTACACAAATACCGTTACTAATTGTCTGGTTATTTCACAACGAGACTGAATTCTATATTTGCTACCGTACTAATGCCAGTTTTTATTGGATAAGTCCTTCCTAACTAGTGGTTAAAAGACACTAACAATATAAAGTGTTTAACTTGTTACCGATAGCGCGGCAACAAAAATACATAACAAAACTTTTTCTTCTAACTAAAACGTCTTTATTCAAAACTTATTTACATATTTACAATAATTGCAAGACTATATCACGATCACATCTTTCACGTAAGCGTCCTTTCCTTCTCTTTTTTTCTCATCTTTTCTTTAATACTTAAACCTTGCAATATCTTGGTGGCCAGTATGCAACCTCTTTGGCTGTATTCACACTTTCAACCAAAGAGTATGTATTTCACACTGACCATAAAGTATGTTCTATTACCATGTGTATTTAAATCCAAAGATTATTTAAGGATAATTGGTTAGAAATCAACCGCAAAAATAAGGATACTCCAGTTACATAGAACTTCCCGTTGTAATACCTTAATAGATAGACGGACAAACAATTGATCCCTCGCAAACAAGTCGCGTAACCGGGATCGTTTAACACTGACATTGGAAGCTCTAACGAGCTGAATTGGTGCATACTGGATCGCTTTTCTATTTATAACTCGTATCATAAACGTAACTCGAACAACTCTTTAATGAATCATGATCGAGTTACAGTCACCAATTTAATAGAGCTTGTTGCAAGTTACAAGACCTAGTCTATAATCTATACATGTAATAAAATTGGAGTGTCTGTAATATCAAAAGAAAAATTCCACATTTCGGAAAATGATGTATTTGTGTTGTTGATAACGAATATCGCATTTAAAAATTTTTGTCCGTCTGTCTGTCCGCGAACCGCGTTTGTTCCGGGTAATCTCCGAAACGGCTGAGCCGATTACGACTGGACTTTTACAGAATGGTAGCCGACATAGACGGGCATAATTATATTATAGGCTACTTTTTTTTATCTTAATATTGCGTAGACGAAGTCGCGGGCAACACCTAGTATGTAATACTCTGGGTCTAGTCTAATGCTAATATATTTTCTACAGTTAAATCTACACTAAGCAACTTAACGACTTTAAATAAGCCTGACGATAATCAAGATACTATCGTTGTTTTGAATAAATAAAACAATTGACTGTTATTCATTCAAAGTTTTAAAAACGTGAGTTCCATTGGAACATGCGACAACTTTATTGAGCATGTGACTTGGCCCCTTACATAGGTCGGTGTTCTACTGCGTGTGAACGGAAGCTTGTAACAATCCAATAAGATCGCTAACACGTGATGTATGTGACATAGTTTATAGTGCGCACCTCTGACTAAACTATCGCACAACTGTCTATTTTTTTTTGTTTTTTTTATAACATAAGGTGGCAAACGAGCAAGCGGCCACCTGAAATCGCCAAAATGGCGAAGCGACCGCTGCCCATAGACATCCGCATTTGCAGATGCGTTGTCTACCCTTAACTGACGGAGGAGGAGACGCACATAAAGAGTATATTTCCCCTTCCTATGCATCTCCTCCACTGTCCAAATCCACTTCCTCTTCCCAGCCTCTCCTTATAAGAAAAGGGTGGTAAAGAGAAAGGGACTTAAATTAGGCCTCCGGCACCACACTCATCAGACGAAACACGGAATTGTTTCCATTTCACGCCTGTCTTCTGTGTGGTCGTGGTATTACACCGGGCGTGCCGGCCTATTCGTGCGTTTAGTCGTAGTTTGACTTCTGTAAATTTATACGAAGTTGCACATACTACTCGATTTTTATTTGTGCAAAAACAATTGAATTAGCTGAGAAACAATCGATAATCGCATAACAGTTGTGCGAGTTTAATCAAAGGTGTGCGCCCGCACTAATAATTTGCATCGAAATTCAAATAATCAATTACGAAAGATATATTATCTAGATATTAAATCATTTGTGATTATCTTAAGCCTTTATTTAGTTGATCGTTGAACATTGACCTTCCAAAAACTTGTAAATAAAATAGAAATAGACTTTTTGTTGTCATTACTGTTTCTTGTCTTTTTATTTATACGTGGGGAAATGCCTAAGCATGTTCCGACTCATTGGGACCTAGAGTCGGAATATGTCGGACTCGCACCGACTAAAACCCCACGGTCGTCGCCAACATCGCAAGAAAAGAGGGGAAATGGGATCTCCGTGTGGAACACAACCATGTCACCTTAACTTACTTACTGTTTCTTGTCTTAGTCGTATCCTTGAGAGACGCGTAGATTTAGGTATCTACAGTTACTAAATTAATTTTTAATTATGTCGGAATTAAGATTTGTATGTCAATTAAAAGTATAGAATCAATTAACGCTATTTTGTTTCTTCAAGCGTCTCTTGTTTCATCAGCCTAATTAATCGGTACTTAATATATTTTTATACGTAACTATAAGGAATTATTAAATCATAAAATTGGAAGCTTAAATAACATTTATCGGAAGTTATCTAGAGATGAAAAACGATCAATTGTCCACGATAACAATTACAATGAATTAACATTTTATTTATCTACACCCAAATATAGCACTAATCCGTAATGTTTACGTGTGTGAAGTTAGCAATGATGCGGGGCGATATTTCCGTCTCTGTCCTGTTTTTGACATGTGTACATTTGTCTCACATCGACTGTATTGCATGCAATATTTGTAGCTAAGTTCACGCCATGCAAATATTTATAATTCTTGTATTATATTATGCGTTAATTTTATATCGTGTAAGTGTTATCAAGGTGTTGTGTTGGAGCGTGGATTGCATAATAATGGCAATCTTCACAGCCATTAAATATGTATTAAGACGTTTGTTTTTTTTTAATGATTATGAACTTATTGCTTTATCTGTCCTTATCTAAATATTTGTGTGTGAGAGAGAAAGAGTAATAAATTAACAGTGGTAGTGCCCGCTTTAACATCTTAGCACGAATGGGCCGGCACGCCCGGTGTAATACCACGACCACACAGAAGATAGGCGTGAAATGGAAGCAATTCCGTGTTTCGTCCGATGAGTGTGGTGCCGGAGGCCTAATTTAAGTCCCTTTCTCTTTACCACACTTTTCTTATAAGGAGAGGTTGGAAAGAGGAAGTGAATTTGACGGTGGAGGAGATGCATAGGAAGGGGAAATATCCTCTTTATCTGCGTCTCCTCCTCCGTCGTATAAGGGTAGGCAACGCATCTGCAATTGCGGATGTCTATGGGCAGCGGTCGCTTCGCCATTTTGGCGGTTTCAGGTGGCCGCTTGCTCGTTTGCCACCTTATGTTATAAAAAAAAAAATTAAAGCATTACTTACAGTAGTCGCTGTTCGGTATCGAAGCGAAGACCATGCTTGCAGCTGAGACGCTGACGCCCTTAGGGCATATCTGGCGTTTAGTATTTGCATCTTTATTTATTAACTACGTTAAAACTATTAAACAACTAATAAGTACAGGCTTAATTCTCACAGATTAAAAATAATATCTATGTTTTATTTCATTTTGAATAAAAAATATGACTAGATGATATTGTATGTCGATTTCGTGTCGCCTCGCTCGATTTGTGCCTGGAAAGAAAAAGAAAAATATTTTAGTATGAACATGACTACTTAATATATGACATGAATGACATTGTAGGCATTTGTAAATAAATACGCAATACATTTTATCTAACCGGTAATCATAAACGAGAAATTAAAGCCCACGGAGTTACCGTTAATTTTGCTTACAGCATTACTTATTCAATTAGATATATTCAATAACATCTCTAGACACTACATCTTACTGTAAAAATGCGAAAGTTTAGGTGGATGGATGGATGTTTGAGTTTGTGGCCTAAACGGGATCTCGATGAAATTTTCCCATAGATGTTAACCATAATCCGGAAGAATGTATAGGCTACTTTTGTGTTTTTTAATTCCACGCGGACGGAGTCGCGAGCGAATGCTAGACTTTCAACTATTTATCAATAGACTTCGTCTTTTCATTCTTGGAAGGTGACCTTACCTTATTCGATTTCAACAAAGTTGTAGACATAACACATAACTGCAACGAAATATCTTTTTTGGCAAGAGTCTAAATTATATTTTTAAAAATGTCAAGAAAGTGACTCCAATGTAACTTTTAAAATCTATTACATTTTGAGACGACAATTATTACATCACTCGGTTTGGTGCTTTCAAAATTAGCTGGAAGACTATAAAGTCACTGAACCAAATCAGGTAAGAATCACGTGATAGCAAATATTATATGCTAGCTGGCATCGACAAAAAAACTAAGTTGCTAGTTTATGGTCTATTCCAAATTATAATCTACCGCTGTTACTCGTCTAGATCCGTGAAGTTCTGAAGTTATGTATTAACAAACCATACATCCATCCAAGCTTTTGTTTTTATAATTTCAAAGACGAGCACGCGATAAGTAATGTTATGTATTGAAAACATTATTTAAGAAGTCGTAATAATTATTAACGATTGAAATATCTTCGTACGTAAACACAAAACATATCAAACTTCATTGTAAACAAAAAACAAGAAATTTAATTGGCTTAATTTCAACATCAGTTACGTCAGTTTACAAAATAACTAGCTTTCGCCCGTGACTCCGTTTGCGTGGAACTAAAATAATCAAAATTGAGTAGCCTATATGTTCTTCCACACTATCCTCTACGTCTATGCCAAATTTCATCGAGGTCCGTTCAGTCGTTTATGCTACTAACAAACATCCATCCGTCTAAACTTTCGCATTTATAACATTAGTAAGAAAAATTAACATTTATAAATGGTGTTGATTAACTGCCAAGTTTACGCGATATAACTCTAATCGATTTTGTGTACGGTTTCAATTGATTTCAAAATGGCTTCTAACTAAATGAAGCCTTACTTCGATTGACGAAAGGTCTTTTTGAACACAGATTGCATCACAACACATAGATAACCAATAATATAAAAAAATGTAAATGTTTGGATGGACGTTTCTTACTACATAACTGCAAACGTCTTAACTGACATGATGTTTGGTACAGATGTAGAACATAACCTGGAAATACACATATCATAGAAGTTTTGTTTTTAAATTATGTTGGAACAAGGTCGCGGGGAACCGCTGTATAATTAAGCAAGGGGGAGATACTATAAATGTATTGTTATAAGAAATTGTAGCAACTTGTTTTCGAGGTAAATCTAGTATTTATCGCAGAAACTATGAAAGTGATCGGCCATGACACTCCGGTTGACAGTTAGTTTGGTGCCAATGCCGGTCATTGACCGTTTACCAGTTTTACTCAGATGCCAGCATCGACAGACTGTTGACCTCACTGATTGAATATTTATCTTAAGAACAAGTTTTAATTGATATATTAGAACTGAACGTAGATTATATAATCGTAGGTGTACAATGTCAAAATAAATACAAAATCATATTGTCATCCTTTTCTATGAATAAAACTGAGATAACGCTATGTTTAAAATATGTTACCAGGATTATAAAAACCTTACCATATAACTAACTAATTTCGCTGCGTACATTACAAAGTGAGGCAATGAAGCTCCCCAAAGACCAGGTTTAATTATTCGTATTTTTGTATGTATTGAAATAACTCAAAAACTACTGGGCCAATTTCAAATTTCAATCACCATTAAAAAGCTACGTTATCAGGGAGTAATAAAGGCTATATATATTACTATTTTTTGATTTTACATGGACGAAGTCGCGGGCAACTGCCAGTTAATATTAATTTAATAAAAAGTTAACCATACATACCAATTTTTTTTTTAAAACAATGCACTTAATTTTTTTATCGTCAAATGTTAATTCTTATAATCGTATACATTATCGGTCAAGGTAACTCTCTGTTATCAAGGTAAACAGAAACAAGCGATTGAGTAAGCCTAATATACAAAACATACAAAACAGGAAATATTACATACCTAAACCTTCATTTTGTTTTCTATAATAAACGATAAACAAATTTTTGACCTCGCTAGACTAAATAAAACATATTTAATTCAATTTCTTTAATAAACACCTTAATTTTATCTCTGAAAGGATGGGAAGGATAAGTTTATTTGATGGAGGAGACACAAAGGTAGGGGAGAATTTTTATATCTCCCCTCCACTGCATAAAGGTAGGCAACGAACTGCAAATCTTACTAATCTTTCTTACTAATATTATAAATGCGAAAGTTTAGATGAATGGATGGATGGATGTTTGTTAGCGTTTGTAGCTCAAACGGCTGAACGGATATCCATAAAATTTGGCACAGGTTTAGAGCATATTCTGGAAAAACACATAGGCTACTTTTTATCCCGGGAATAGTAACGGTTCCCTAGGGATTCATTAATTTAGTATTTTAATGTTTAATCGATCATTCTGCAACGGTTCCATATATCTTATTGAAATTTGGCACAGATATAAAACAAAGTCTGGAGTATACATGGGATAAGGTCCATCGCCGAGAAAAGTCCGGTTCCCGAGGGATACGTAGCTATTTGTTATTTACATAGTTCGTATGTTTTCTAATACCACGCGGACGAAGTCGCGGGCAACAGCTCGTGCTACATAATACTATACGCACTTTTCAACACTCAACAATAACAAAGCATTCTTCAAAAGAAATGAATCACGATATCTTGTCAAATGCGTTTAACATTCTCCTTAGGAATTTCCCACATTTAAAACATAACACATATTGAAATTGTTAATGTATGTTGCGGTTTGTGTGAACCAAACTAAATAAGTGACATTTAAATAATTACTGCACACGCAAAGTTTGCACTGCCATGAACCGGTACGAGCTGGGAAATCCCTGAATCTAGTCAATTATGTCGTTTTGGTACTGTTTTACGAAATTTATTTTTAAAAACTCAATATTTTACGCAGTTTATTTATTTACTGCCAGTGACTGCGACCCCATCGAGTTAAAAAAAAAAAAACTTAATAGGCGTACGTGTTCTTGCAGACTATATTTTACATTCTTACGTGCCTGTTTATTCGTTTTGTAGTTACGTAGTAATAAAACATCCATTCAAATTTTCGAATTAGAATATTAGTATGAAGTATAACTTAAGGCACTTGTGTCAATTTTCATAATCTTGATCTCCACTTCACTATATGTCCCCACTGAGGGGTTTGGAGTCTACTCTAAGTTAGGGTGTCCGGGCCATAGACAACCACGCTGACCAAGAGCGGGTTGGTTGACTTCACCTATATCTTTGAATTTCTTCGCCGATATGTGCAGGTTGCATCACGATGTTTTCATTTACCGTAAAAACGTCGGTGTACATATGAAAATTCGAAAATCACATTGGTACGTGGCGGGATTCGAACCTAAGACCTGTATATTACAAGTCGAGTGTTTAAACCACTGAGCCATCGACGGTCCTTCATAATCTGTTTTAGCTCTAAAGATTAGTAATATGAATTTGTATTAAAATGTAATCAAGAATATTTGGATTTATTAAGATGTGCAATATATTGTAATAAAAACTGTTTTACAATTCGTGCAATGGTTAAATATTACCTTCCCGTTATTTTACGCTCGTAAAAATATTTTTCGCTTCGTTCCGCTGAGGAATTTTTCAATTAACTGTACGTCTAATTAATAACGCTTAATTCAAGTACTGGATTAATAAGAAATTACTGTATACGCCAATTAGTTGTAATATCGCGCTTGTTATAATTAAGGGGTGGACAGCGGTTACTAATTTCGGTATTTCGGCTTTTGGAATACGATCGTCGAAGTCACTATATAAAAAATTCTGATGTCATTCAAATCTTTGGCTTCTATGATAATTGTCGTATATTTTTAAGGCAAATGCAAGACAGATATTTGGATATTACGAATAATTACACATTACAAACAAGAACATACGATAGATGACCAAAATCTACAGTTATTTCTACGTTATATTCATATTCACACAAAAATTAGTATTTATAAAGTTAATTTTAAAAATGTAAATCACAAAATTATGACTTACGATAGTCTACGTAGGAGCCATCGATATTTGATCTGAGCTCCTATTACTACCACTTACGCTACGAATATTAAATCAATTCATTGCGGTTAGAAGTGACTTATTGTGACTGAATTACGTACTATTGTCTAGACACAAATGACGCTATTATTAACTATCTTTAGACAAGCATAAAGCATGTAAAATTATCAAAATGCGTTCCTCGCTTATTGCTTTTCGTGACTGCGTAATAGTTTTCCGTTTAATGACAACACGAATTAACGCGCTAAGACTCGGTTAATGATCACTAATCTTTATGAATCTACACTAAGGGTTTCTTAACGATTTAGTGGGCAACGATACTGTTGTCACTCTACATGTGTACATTATACATCCCATATTAAGAAATGAGCCCTTTATACGCAGGTCACGAGACATACCGGTATCAAAACGTATAAGAACTTGTTTAATTTAATCCAAAAGGAATAAAAACTAATTTACCTTTTAATTTATTGTTATGTACACATAAAGATAATGTCCAAATTATACCTAAGTATGGTAATACGTGTAGAAAAAATCTAATAAGAAAATTCTTCTACAAAAAATCACTGATAAATTAAGTGTTAAGTAATTTGTTTATATATTTATATATCAATAAAATTTACCTTTAAATATTAACAGAGCAAACACGTCCACACAGCGCGACGGTTAAAGCGATACTATTTATGTATCTAATAGACGTGTAAACGGGTCATAGCGACCTCTAAGCTTATCAGAGAGTTCAATGGCAATTGCGGGTTACCATTGGTAATATCAGTGATTCGTTTTCTTAAAGACCGTAATGTGGTATGGTTCATTTTTCAGCTTCATTAAATAATAAATTACAAATTCCTGATGTTAAAAACATCCACAAAACCAGTTTAAACCACAGATTATATGAAGCATTTTTTTTTGTTTCTTTATAACTTTGCAAGACTTTATTGCCAGTGCATTTTCAATAAACTTTTTTTTTTAAGTTATCATTAAAAAATATTTACCAGGATGTTTATATCTAAGATAAAATACTATGAGAGATAACAAATCATATAAAGTCCATTCCATCATAAATGTTATGCCACTCCCTAATTGTTGTTTACATATTTTTTTTGTAAATTATAAATATTAGTTCGACAATATTCCAATAATTTAAATATATTTCAGGATTCTTGTAACTGGACTTTGACCTTTTGACCTTGAGATTGTTAAATAATACATGATAAAATGCCTTACTACTTAGTATATCATGCAAACATGAGCGCCTTGATCTACTCTCAGTCTATTTAATCATGCACACTCATACACGGTTGGTACAAATTAGTTCAATAAATGAATCATTAGAACTTATGTGTGAATATTTTTGATGATAAAAATACTAATGACTACTAACTGTAGATAATTAAATTTACATTTAACTTACATTGTGAAGTCAAAAATTAAATAACTTTTTTTAGTATATGAATAAAATGAAATTCAATTACTTAGTAGCATGTAAGACTAATTTCATTATTTGAATTATATTGGATTGAGTATTCGTAATTTTTATTTATTGTTTTTATCTAACATTATTAAAAAATAGTTCTTAGTCAGTAATATTTAATGTTTAATGGTAGTAATATTTAATGGTATTTTAATTAATTAGAAACACGAACCGAAAACTATTTTAAAACTAATAAAAATCAATCGTTAATTATTTTTATATAAAAAAGCACGCAGTACATTTTAAATAAATAGGTTTGTAAGAATAATGTTACGAAACACAATTTTAATCATAGAAATTAAATTAATTAATTCTGAATAATTACAATTACCCAGTTGTTATATAACTTAAAAAAATAACAAAAAATAAAACTACGCTGATCTTATTTTAAAACAGAGAGGAATTAAAAAGAAACATTGTGACATAAGTTGGCCGATTTGCAAGATAACAATATGAAAAATAAAGTTTTATTAAATATTCCTTACCTTTTATTTCGTAAAATAGTATAAAGAAAACTTCCTATAACTAGCACTTAGCACATAAGTTCACTTTTTCGTGGAGAAGTGGATTTGATTTGATTTTGATATTTGATTGATGGTAAATGGTGATGGATGATGGAAAATAAAAAATGCAATTTCTTATATTAGCAAAGTGAAAACGGCAACACCGTGATCGTCAACCGCTGCAAATTGACAAAATTTTTTAGTGATAATAAATTTTCATAAAATCTGTACAAAATCATTGTTATAAAGTTAGAAAACTATTTTTTTTTATTAAAAAGTAATCCTTAATCCTGTGTTAACGTTTTCTTGTATGTAATCTGTTAAAATATGAACTGTCAATGTCATGTGTCATAATATCAACAAGCGATCGGCCGATTTTTTTTTCGTTTGTCGAAAAATAATTAATTGTTCTTAGTAATAGCAAAGGTGTAATTGTTTTAATTTACATCTTGATCAAGTTGAATTATGAAAATGACATCATTGCAAATGTGAACATAGGTTTCGATTCTTTTATAATGGCTTCAGAATCAAGTTGCAAAAGTTTTGTCAATAGTTGTAGAACTTGCTTAAACGGCTCATCTACGCAACAGTATAATATTTTTGATTATAACAAAGATTCCATTAATATTGCTCATATGATATTGACCTGTACAGGTCTAGCGGTGAGTTTTTTTTTTAATTGTAATTCACTTAATTTTATTGATATATTTTTTCCGTAGTATTGGCATTTCAATTAAGTGATAACTTTTATTCTTCAGGCAAATGCTGAGGACTGTCTTCCAAAAATTGTATGCAATAGTTGTTACAATAACCTTGTCAGTTTTTACAATTTCTGTTTAGTTGCAAGGAGAATTGATTCACATCTAAGAAGTCAAATTAATGTTGATACCAATGACAACTCAATATCACAAAAAGATATTCTGACAGATATTAAGATTGAATCAGATGATAACATTGATGCACTTAGTGATCAAATAACAGAAATAAAAATAGAAATCGGACCCAATCTTGATGAAAATAAGAATTCTACAATATACAATGATCTACCATACATAAAAACCGAAGATGCTCAACAAACTGACGTTAAAATTAAATTAAAATGTGATATTTGTGATAAGAAGTTCAAAAAGATTTCCAAACTAAATCAACATAAAGAAAAACATTATTCATTAGATAATTTATATGTATGTGATATATGTTCACAGAGTTTTAAGCACCAAATTAAACTTATCAACCACTTAGTTACACATAGCCAAGAAAGTAATAATAGAATAGACGAAAATGAAATCCAAAGAGACACTAATGAGATTTTTAAATGTGATATTTGCTTATCTATATATAAATCTATGCATTCATTATCCGCTCATATGAGAAAACATGTAAAAAAGGGTAGAATACTATCTTGTAATGTATGTGCCAAAAAGTTTAATAAAATAAGCCATTTGAAAAGACATGAACAATGTCATAGTGATAATCGACCATTTAAATGTACAATCTGTCCGAAAACATTTGTAACAGAGGATTGTTTAAACGAACATATGAATAAACATAATGGTATAAAACCACATGCATGTCCATTATGTCATAAATCTTTTTCACAATTATCAACGTTAACAAACCATATAAAAATACATAGTACGGATAAAGTATTTTTATGTCCAACATGTGGGAAAAAGTTTAACTCAAGTACTAATCTTAATCAACACATGAAGAGGCATATTGGGCATAAAACATTTGCCTGTCATTTCTGTCCTAAGCTCTTTATAAGTAAAGGTAATTGTAACTTTTTAATTTTTTCTTATGTAATACATAAACTAGCATTTGGATAAAACTAACTGAAGGTATACTCCAAGCTTCTTAGTGGCCTTGTATAGTGAGCTGGTGATGATGATGAGGGTAATGAAATCTGAACTGTGGCTAAAATATGGTACATGGTAGTCTATATTCACTGTAGTCTTGAAAGCACTACTTATTTTCTTTTATAGTTGACAAGCTTTTGTCTACAACTTCATCTGAGTGGATTTAAAAAATAAATAGTGTAATGTGTTCTTTCTGACTGTTCTACATCTGTTTCAAATTTCATTAAGATCGAGTTTTGGAGATGTATAGTAACCATTTATTTATCCAAGCATTCGAACTGTGGCATTTATAGTTTTAGTATAATATTATTTAGTAAAATAGTGGCAAATGAGCAAGTGATCCTTTAATTTCGTAAAAAACAGAAAAGTGACCACTCCCCATATAAATCACCAACAAATTGTCAAAGCATTACCTACCTTAAATGGACAAAGGATAGAGCATACAGAAAGGGGGTATTTCCTATTCATCTCTTTTAAAATCACTTCCCTTCCCTTTCTATATAAGAAAAAGATGGTGATGTCAAAGTGGTCTAAATTGTTAGTCTCCAAATTTTCTGATTTTTGATTACTTTTTTCTTCTATTTTCCAGGTGAAATGATGTCTCATGCCAAAACTCATACTGGTGAAAGGTCATTTGCATGTGATCAATGTAATGGGAAATTCACTAAACAAAGTTCTCTTGTTAAACACAAACAGCGCCATCTAGGTTTGAAACCTCATAAATGTGACGTCTGTCCTATGAAGTAAGTATACAGTGTTGCCAGTTGTTAATAAAAATATATTAGATAAGGGCAAATTTTAGTACGCATTTACAAATACGGATTACTTATTTTATTATTATTTATTGAAAATTTAAAACAACACAAGTTATATATATGCGCAAATATGGCCCCGCAAAAAACATATAATTGGTTATTCCGCGGGTGCACTGTTACAATATTAAAACCGTCTATGGGAATCAGGGATGTCTATGAGGGTTCGGTGTTTCGGCGAAATCACTTGGCTGCTTGATAATTTGCAACTAATAATGTAATTAAGTCGATTGATTGTTATTTAACGATTTAATCTTTTATTTCAGGTTTACAAGTAAAGATCATTTAAAACGACACTACCGTATACATACAGGGGAAAAACCTTACCGTTGTGAATTTTGTAGCAGAGCATTTACACAGAGCAATGATTTGGTGAAGCACAGACGAGCTCATTTGGGTGATAAATTATATAAGTTAGTATTTTATTTAAATAAAGCATAACTATCAAATAAGCCAAAAATATAGTTAAATTCGTATGTTTCTTAACAAAGTGCACATTTATTTAATTAGCTGTTGGTCGCGACTTAGTCCCTATGGAATTAAGAAAGAATTTCGCAAGAAGTTGGGAATTTTTTGCTTACTGGTAACCCTATTAATGTCAAAAATGCCATAAAGTCCTTATATGTCTTTTAGAGTTTAGATGTTTATCTATTTACTTATGTATTTCCATATTGTTTTTATTTAATTTACAGATGTAATCAATGCAATGAGAGTTTCCGTTTGCAAACTGAATTACGTCAACATTTATCTCAACATTATATAACAAGATATCTGGAGAAAAGAGACCAAATGGATGCAAATACTGAATCTCATACAGAAGTACCTGTTATTTCAAATCAGTACACCGCTGTTATTGATATGAGTCAAACACAAAATAATACTTGATATACACAGTTACTTAAGAGCTCGCATGACTAAACTATCGCACAACTATTTAGTCGCGTCTGATTCCTATGAGCTTATATGAAGGTTACTCGATTTTTAGTAGTGCAACTAAACAGTTCAATTAGCTGCGAAAGAATCGACAATCGCACAATTGTTGTGCGATAGTTTGTCAAAGATATGCGCCTGCTCTAATAGTGTTTTAACATTAGTGGTACGAATTTATCCGGCTTTGTACTGGCATCATGTATTTCAAAATTAACTCATCGGGCCAAATAAGTTTGTTTGACTATGAATTGTACTTTATGGTATTAGGAGCATTTTCTTGTTTACTTAACTTTTATTTTTATTGTAATGGTAACATTGACAAAGGGCATTATTAAAGGGGAGTGGTTTAAAGTATGGAAAAAGGAAGGTTAGGTTGGAAAAAGGAAAAAAAAGTTTTATGAAATTTTAGAATTATGGATATGGTAAGTTTTAAATCGAGTTAAGAGACTATTGGCCGAATACTGAAACGATTTTGAGATACTTCGCTTCGTGTCACTTAAAATTTGACAGATGTCAAAATTTAATAGAATTTGCCGTTTAAGCGCGGGATTAACTTTTAAGATATTGATACAAAATAAAATGTCGTTTCAGTAAACGGCCGAATGGCCGAATTGAAAGGTTATGGAAGTATTAAACAGGTTATATGTGATCAATACATTTTTCCCGCTATTTTTTAAAGAAAATATGGTCAATGTGTTTGGAAACCCACAGTAATTAAAAGGTGCTAAATGAGGTTCTAAAAGATATTTTATAAGTTTTAAATGATTTGTTAGTTATTTAGACATGAGTGTTAGAGTTTATATGTGGCGGTAAATAACCTATTGGTTATTCCTGGTGCCTTATGACACCGAAATGTACCAATTTTCCTTATTAGTACTATAAGCTGAAAAAACTGCTGAAAAATTGTGATGATATTTTTTATACTGGCTTGCAGTGTCCATATTTCTTGCGAAAAAAGCAATGACAGTCTTTTCCCTTTGACGTTTTGTAAGTCATGTCTATGTTTCGTAGAAGCAAGGGCGGATCCAACTATGGTGCCAGGGGGAGTCACATAGTGGTGGTCAAGTCAAGAGCTTGACAAAATATGTTAATGTGTAACCAGCTCAGGGGGG